AAATCATTGCAGACAGGTAGTGGACTTAGGCACCATAGGAAGCCAAGTGTGGCTTATCCTGCCTACTGTTGTAGAGCGTCTCTTCTTGGGGCCTGCATGTGCTTCCAGGCTCTATTGAAACCTGCCTTCTCCTCCACTACCTTTCCTGAAATAAAAACTTCTCTTAGGTGCTATAATCTCAGAGTGGAAAAAGTGCTACATTGTATCCTTGGTGACAGCCCACAGTTACCATCTCTTTTTTAATATTTGATTTATAATTTTTATTTTTCTGTATGAGAGAAATGCCTGCATATATGTAAGTTCACCCATATCATGCAATGCCCACATAGGCCAGAAGAGGGCGTCAGATCCCATGGAACTGGAATTATAGACAAGTTGTTAGCCACAATGTGGGTGCTGGGAATCGAACATGGGTCCTTTGTAACAGCACCCAGTGCTTTTAACCATTGAACCATCTCTCCAGCCCCTTACCAGCTTTTAAAAAATGTGTATGGGTATTCTGTCTGCATTTATGTAAGTGCACCAATGTCATGCAATGCCCACATAGACCAGAAGAGGGCATTGGATCCCATGGAACTGGAGTTACAGATGGTCGTTAGCCACTATGTGAGTACTGGGAACCCAAGCCCCTGGGTCCTCTGGAAGAATAGTCAGTGCTCTTAACCACTGAGCCATCTCTCCAGCCTCAGTTACCAGCTTTTGATGTACTAGTTGTGGGATAGTTTGATCAAGTAATAATTGCTGTTTCTCAACATCAGGATGTTTGCCTTATAGATGTTCCACTCCAAAGAACCCCAAAGTTGTCAGCCTAGTCCAGACTGGCAGAATTATAAGGACTAGCCACTGATCTCTTAGGAATGAGGCACCTTCCTTGTGGCCTAGGCCTAACAGTCTGGGTACACCCTTAGGACACACAGCTAAGAATCTGTGGTGGTGTGGGAAAGGGAGTAGAAAATAACAAGGGAGATAGAGGTGACAGTAGTTAAGAAAGATGAGAGAGACTGGGAAGAGAAAAGACTATCAGTACCCATCAAAAGCAGACTGTGTAGAGACCTAAAGACAAGTCAATGATAGTAATAATGGTTTGCATTACTGCAGAAGCTTCCTCTAAAACCCTCCTGTATACTCAGTTTTATGCAGTACTAGGGATCAAACCGAGGAATTCATGTATATTTAAGCAAGCACTCTACCACCTGAGCTATATCCCCAATCCATGAGAAGACAATAAATTTGTTTTTTTACATATGTTTATTTGTGTGTGTGTATGTGTGTGTGTGTGTGTGTGTGTGTGTGTACATGAGTGCTCATGGAGACCAGAAGATGGTGTCAGATCCCCTGAAGCTGCAGTTACTCGCAGTTGTGAACCGCCTGGCATGGATGCTGGGAACCTAATTCCAGTCCTCTGAGAGAGCATTAAATGCCCTTAACCTCTGAGCCATCTCTCCAGCCCCAACTTTGTTTTATTTCAAGTCATTAAATTTGTGGTAGTGTGTCACAGTAGCAAAAGAAATTAATACATACAGTCATCTGAGAATAGAAGAAAACAAGAACAACTTTAATATGCATACAGATGACCTGAATATCTTCTTAAAATGCAGAATTTGCTTCAGGTCCTGTGCAAAGCCTGAGACTGATTCCACACTTCTACAAATCTCTCAAGTCATACCGATGCTTACTGATACACTCTTGCATTCAAAGTGTGCAATCACAGATAGACGCTGTGATTAGCATTTATTCACTGGGTTTTTTTGATGAATCATTTTAGTGTACAAAATGATGGGCTGCACTGTAACATTTTCAGATGTCTACATCATTACACTTTGCTCACATTCACCACCATCTCAAGCCTCTGCTGTCTACCCTCCCTCTCCTGCTGGTCCCCTTTCTTCCCCAAAGAGTCCCCCTTCTCCTTTGCTACACACACACACACACACACACACACACACACACACACGCACTTTTTTTTGACAGGGTCTCTCACTGTAGCCTAGGCTGGCCTAGAACTCACTATCAAATTTGCCGTCTTCCTGCATCTATCTCCCAAGGGCTGGGATTACAGGCCTGAACCAGAGAGCCCAGCCAGAAGCAGGCAATTTTGTTCCTTGATGTTTCCAAACTCCCTTGTACTTACCTCTTACATAATGGTTTTCTCTCCTACCATATTATACGTTCTTGGTGGCCACAGACCTAATGTGGCTCGTATTTATATTCTTACAGTTTTTCATAGTGCTGGGTGAAAAGTACATAACCAGCAATGTTAGAATGGCTGAATGAAAGTGGAATATTGCTAAAGGCCAGCATATGTTTCTAGGAGATGCTCCATCATTCCCATCTGATTCTTTTTTCTAAAACAGCTAAATTGGAAAGAATTACAACGATGCCTGGAAATTGTTTGGCTCAAATCTTGGATTAATTCAGAACTAAGATTTCTGAAATTGGAAATCTGGGAAGAAGATAACAAATACATAAAACATCAAGAGGCAGCCTGATGTGGTGGCACTCACCTTTAATTCCAACACTTGGGAGGCAGAGACAGGTGGATCTCTATGACTTCGAGGCAAGCATGGTCTACAGGTCATCCAGTGCTACACGGTAAGACCCTGTCGCAAAAAAAAAAAAAAAAAAAGTATGAGGCAAATTTATCAAGAAATCTACTAAGACACACACAAAAGTAAAGCCTTCCAGACACATATTTTTAGTAACACTGCTTTAATATGATTAACAGAAACTAGAAGACAATACTACCAATGTAGCTTTCTAAATGATGAAACCTTCATTTTACAATTCTTACAACCCTGTGATGTAGGGAGTATCTTCCCCATAATAAGCAGCTCCTCTGCTACCTGTGTAAGCTGCCCATAATAAGGGCAGAAAAACAAAGATAAATCAGAAACATGAAATCATATGCCCAACCAAAATCAAGGATATGGAACCCAGGTGTTCAAACCCTCAAGCCTGTGTTTCTATTTTATCACCAAACAATGGTTCTCAGTCCTGACTATCTGAATTCCCTAGAGTGCTTTTAAGACTCATAAGACTTAAGACAGCTTATGCCCCAAAGGATCTTTTGTGTATGACCTGAACAACAGTATTTTTAGAATTTCCAGATGATTCCAAAACACAGCTAGGGTTAAGAATCATTCACTATTTTAGTCCAAGGCATACTGGCTTACAGCTATAGTCCCAACACTTGGAAGGCTGAGGCAGAAGGACTGCCCCAAGTTCCAGGCAAGCCTTGGCTACAGAGTTGGACCCTGTCTCAGGAAAAGAAAAATCACTGTTCTATTAGTGGTTCCTTAGCCAGAAGTAGTGGCTAGAAACTTAGAGATGCATACTCAGGGTCTGGGTATGTAGCTTGGTTGACAGACTGCTTTCCTGGTGAGTATGTATATGCCCCAGGTTCTATCTCCAGCACCACACAGATTGAGTGTGGTGATACATACCTGTAATTTCAGCATTCAGGAGGTAAAGACAGGAGAATTAGAATTTCAAGGTCATCCTCAGCTACATAGTGAGTTTGAGACCAACCTAGGAAAACTAAGATCTTGTCTGAAAAAAGGAAATGAAAGAAAAAAAAAAAGAAATGAAAATTTTCAGGCCCACTCCAGGCCTACTGAATCAAGAATTTTAACAAGCCTTCCAAGGCATTCTGATGTCCTCACAAGTTTGAACATGAGCGTGCAAAGGGTCCAACTTATCTCCATACATAAAGTCAAAAGTTGCAGAAACACAAGCACAACTCAAGTCCAGGTATAAGATTAGACCAGATTCAAAACAACTTAAGTTAGTTTCCAAAATGTAGACAACAAAAAAGAAGTCTTTGTAGGTTGGGAACTGGAATATGGAGTACCTGTGATACAGGTTGGGTTTTTTTTGTTGTTGTTTTGTTTTTTGGTTTTTTGGGTTTTTTTTTTTCTTGAGCTTTTGTAGGAGAGACATCTGCCAAAGACTGTCAAAACATCCTGGAATATATTTGCTCCAACTCTGCACCTTCCTCTCCACTCTCTCACTTAAAACACTAACCTTCCCATTTGTGCTCTCACCTGGATTGAGTAAATAGCTTCTAACCACTCTTCTTCCCACCCCTCTCTTCTTGGTATCCAAGATGAGAATAGCAGGCAGGCAAAAGGTTAGTTTTAATGTACTAGCAAATGGATACACAACCTAAATTGGGCTGACTTCCACAGCTGGCTTCCCCTGAACCCATCTCATCTGCTTTAGTAAACTCTCTTACCCTTTGACCTAACTCGCATGAGCTCCATCCCTGGAAAATTCCATTGCCAAACTTCAAACACACCTCCTCTTCTCCTCAGAGACAATCTTGGGCGTACAGATTGAAAGAAAGTCAAACCTGTCAGCCACTACTTACTGGCCAGAGACACAGCCCACCAGAGACAAGAGACAATAGTTAGAGATGGGAAATGGGCTCAGCTCTAAACCAAATGGTAGCTATTACCGATTCTTAATCCTCACTGAGTTGAGATCCAAGGGAGAATAAACAAGGGAAGAGTATACCTTATTTGAGAGAATTAGCATTTGAGGTGCAGGGAAACAAAAAATGTTTGATAATACCCCTGAAAGGATGCTGGGCCCCTCAATAGCTTATCTGTCCTCACTTCCCACTTCACCTGATTATGATCATTTTGCTTGATTAAAAGCAATCATAATATAAGCTGAGAATTATTTATTAAGCAAATGCTTAATTAAGCTGAGATTAGTTACTAATCTGGCACTTGAAGCTTAGGAAGAAATGGAAATTTAATATTAAGCTATAGAGGGAGAAAGTATCATTAGAGTCAGTTATGTCTTCTATCAGACAGGAGACCAGATGAAGATCCCTGTCCCTCTGTAGCTCTTGAAGCATCAATGAAGGGAGAGGGCCCCAAGAGACAGTGTGTATCAGGTACTTGAGAGTTGTCTAGTAACTTGGTTGGTGGAGGGGGAGGGACTAGCGCAGGACCCAGGGACAGATCTGCACTGAGATTGCTGCCTTCAGAAAGCTGGAGAGTCAGGAGGCTGAGGACTAGAAAAGAGAGTGAGTAATCCTCAATGACATCAGGAACCCAAAGATGGCAAGCTGCCAGCCTGGACTGCCAGTAATAGCCAGAACTGTGCTGTGGCTCTGAACCTATAGCACATCTTCCCCTACCCCATGAGAAGTGGTGGTGGAGATCCAGAATGCCTTGGTAAGTGGAAGTCCTGACACTTCAAGACATGGAGTCATCTTTCTCATTTGGAGTGATCCTTGCTGTCCTGACTGTCCTCATCATCGCTGTTAATGCACTAGTGGTCGTGGCTATGCTGTTATCAATCTACAAGAATGATGGTGTCGGTCTTTGCTTCACCTTGAACCTGGCGGTGGCTGACACCTTGATTGGTGTGGCTATCTCTGGCCTAGTCACAGACCAGCTCTCCAGTTCTGCTCAGAGCACACAGAAGACCTTGTGTAGCCTTCGGATGGCATTTGTCACTTCTTCCGCAGCTGCCTCTGTCCTTACGGTCATGCTGATTGCCTTTGACAGATACCTTGCAATTAAGCAGCCCCTCCGTTACTTCCAGATCATGAATGGGCTTGTGGCTGGGGCCTGCATTGCAGGACTGTGGTTGGTATCTTACCTTATTGGCTTCCTCCCACTTGGAGTCTCCATATTCCAGCAGACCACCTACCACGGGCCCTGTACCTTCTTTGCTGTGTTTCACCCAAGGTTTGTGCTGACCCTCTCCTGCGCTGGCTTCTTCCCAGCTGTCCTCCTCTTTGTCTTCTTCTACTGTGACATGCTCAAGATTGCCTCCATGCACAGCCAGCAGATCCGAAAGATGGAGCATGCAGGAGCCACGGCTGGAGCGTACCGGCACCCTCGGCCTATCAACGACTTCAAAGCTGTCCGTACTGTGTCTATTCTCATTGGGAGCTTCACTCTGTCCTGGTCCCCCTTCCTCATCACTAGCATTGTGCAGGTGGCCTGCTCTAAGTGCTGCCTCTACCAAGTGCTGGAACAGTACCTGTGGCTGCTCGGTGTTGGCAACTCCCTGCTCAACCCACTCATCTATGCCTATTGGCAGAAGGAAGTAAGGCAGCAGCTCTACCACATGGCCTGGGGAGTGAAGAAAGCGTTCACTTCATTCCTCCTCCTTCTCTCAGCTAGGAATGGTGGTCCAGAGAAGCCCAGAGGAAGTTCCTGTCACATCGTTACTATCTCCCACCCAGAGCTTGATGGCTAAGTTGGTAAGGAAGGAGTTTCAAAGCGTTTTTCCTATTCCCACTCTGGATTCCCAACTAAGAGATCACATGAAACCCCAAAAATGACAGAACTTGACTATTCAACCTCCTACATCCTTCACTCTCAGAGTGAGGCAAATGAGGCAGCATCCTGACTTTCTTCTATAATCAGTTTCTGCATTTGCAAATCTCCACACATTCCTATCCTTTGGAAATTGGCCTCTTTCCTCTGTAGGTATACTCACTTTAAAAAATGTACTGCTAAAGAGATGTTTGTATATCAAATCCTATTTATTAATATACCAGAGCAATGCTGTCTAATAGAAATATAATGCAAGGTGAATATATAATTCTAAGGTTCTCGTAATCGTGTTAAATGAAACGAGCAAAATTCATGTTAAATTTTTAAGTCTCAAGCATTGATTTCTAAATTATTATTTTAACTTAAAATATTTATAGGGTACAGTGTGATATTTCAGTATGATTATATAATATGTACTGATTAAGTCAGAGTAATTAACATTTGTATCTCCTTAAACATTAATATTAATGTTTTATTTAACTCAGTATACTCAAAATATTACTCCAGCATGTAATCAATAGAAGAATTACTCTACTTTTTTTCATACCAAGTCTTTGAAATCTGATGGGTAGTTTGCTCTCACAGAGCATCCCAGTTCAAATAAACAATGCTTGAAATGCTCACGTGACCCCCACATACTAGACAGCACAGCACTAGAGAAATTCTTTTCTTCTCAACTATTTATTTCGATGATTTGCTACAATTACTCTCATAAAATAAAGAGTTCCTATATCTCCTGCCCTCCCTAAAGTAAGTAACAGATTATGTATGGCAAGTCTGCATAAAGTAGAGGATCATGAATTATAGAACCTAAAGCTTTTCCTGTCCTCATGGGGTTCAAAATAATGTTTTTTAGCAAATGCCCTCTCTAGTCATTATTTCTGTTATCAGTCTTCCCCCTTCCAAAACCACCACCTTTTAAAATTTCTGGTGCCCCTTCCCCTCTGTTGCTTCCTATATCACTTATAGACACTTGCTGATGACAATGCTGAACCACAAATTGAGACACTGGAAGGGAATAAAGAGGGAAAAGTGGTAGGTACCAAGGTAGGCACTGCCAAGCTCTCAAGATTAGACCCTCTTTGTTCCTTAGTGCTAGATTTTCTTACAGTCACTCCCAAACTTCCATTTTCTTATGAAAGTCAATCATATAAGATGCCACCAAAACAGCACAGGGAACCAGCTCATCTTTTATTTATTTATTTTTTTTCGGTATAGTATAGAAAATGGTGCTGAGGGCTGGGGCTGTATGTAGCTCAGTGGTAGAACATTTGCCTAGCATGTACAAGGCCCTGGGGTCCATCAGCACCTCCCCTAAAAAGAAAATGACCATGTTGGCAGCTGGGAATTATGTATGAGTTCCCTCTGGGCAGCCCTGGCAGCAAAATTCAAGGACAGACCCTCACTCTGTCTTTCTGAGCTTTCCTGTAACCCTTTCATCATCCTTCCAGCATCCACAGATTATTACCGAGTACAGTTCTCAAAGCTCTAAACTGAATTCTCTCCCAGAGAGCTACTTAGTTGCTAACAAAAGAGGGCAAGAAGAAACTAAAGAAATGTGGATTCATGTGTCCAGGATTTGAAGAAACTAAAGAAATGTAGATTTATGTGTCCAGGATTTGGAGCTGAAACAGCCTTGAAAAATTAAGCCTCATTATCTCAGTGTCCAATGTACAAAGGCTCATTCTAAGAAGCCCTTGAAGTTTTTCATTCAAATATCAAATAACATTCAAAATCTAGAGGGAATCCAGCCATCCTCTCCATGGGCTATCACCACAACATGCTACTTTGCACTTGGGTTTTCTTAATTCTCCTTTAGTCTTAGGTTAAGTCCTGGCTTTCTTTAATCAGCCATTCAGAGGAAAATGACCACCACTTTGAGATTGCATACTCTTAAAAGTCCCCTTCCCCTGTCTATCTTCATTCTCTATCTAGCAGCCTGTTTCCTGCTGATCTATTCTACCGGCTCTCAGCCCTCCTTCGGCAAAATGTGCAGCTGCACTGCTCACCACTCTGACTCAGAGGAGGAACATGCTTGCTTACACCACAGCAAATTTTATGCCTCTACAACTGAGGAAGTTTTTGGCTCTTGAATGGATGATGAAGCCTGATATGCCTTGAAATGCCCAGCAACTAGCAACTAATGGTTACGATAGCATATTCTGGGATTGGACTATGAGTTACTGTGAACTAGGTGAATTATAAATAAAAGTGGTTTTGGATAAAACTGAAAACAGGCTGAAGGCAATTCCCTCCTTATTGGTAGTTCAAGCTTAATTCCTGGCTCTGTTGCAAAGGACAGACCTTGTTAAAATAATATAAGTAAAATGAAGTATAATTTATTTAATTAAGTATAACTGATTTAATTATTCCATATTATAAACATTCAGCAAAGCATTACATTGTACCCAATAAATAGATATAATTATTTTAAAACTAACAATGAAAAAATAAGATATTTTAAAGCTACAAGAGAAAAAGCAGGAGCAGTGTAGGAAAACCTGATTATCTCTGGGAACCGGTATGTGAAGCTGAAAATTCACAGGCTTTAAAGTCCACAGGCAAGGGTTCAAATTATGATTAAGCTGCAATAACATGGCTACCCTATATGGTTAGAGTGAGGATTAACTCACATAATATACGTGAAGATGCCTAGAAAATTATAGGACGTTGTTAGTTTTCTTCTTTCTTAAGAAAAACCTAACTAATAAAACAAGTGACCCATTTAAGGGAGTCCATCATACTCAGATATTATGATTTACAAGGCAAAAGCAATCTATCTCAGAACTGGGAATCCTTCACCTGATAGTTTTCTTTGAGGATTTATGTACATGTGTGTGGCTACCCAAGCCAGAAGAGGGTGTAGGATCCACTAGAGCTGGAGTTACAGGCTGCCTGATGTGGAATACTAAGAACTGGACTCTGGTCCTCTGGAAGAACAATTAGGTTCTCAACAGCTGAGCCATATCTCCAGCCTCTAATTTTTTTTAAATGAAGGATAAGATTCAGAGTGCAAAAGGTAGGCAGTAAATCTAATATCTTAGCAGGATCAGGACAGAGCAGATACAGATACTTGTTAGGCACTGCTACTAGTCTTAAACACTTGTTTAAGAGTAATTGTAATTAATAACACCATGTTTAATAAGCTTCCAAGAACAGAAATATAGAATGTTATGCAAAAGTTCAATAGCTTTCCTTGATACAGGCTCCTTCACAGATAAGGGGATGCACTCAAGGAGAAACAATTAGATCTCATTCACACATCCAATGCTGTCCCATGATGGACTTGCAAAGAAGCCAGACTGTTCAGCAATTGATGAAAATACCCAAAAGATATTCAGTGTAGGTCAGTTACATTCAGTTACATCCATGAGCAGCTTACTTTGTTTCTTATAAAACTTGTGACATGACTAAGTTTTACATGAAATCCTTGAAAAGCTAAACTTATGCATATCACACTTCTGTTTCAGCTTCAGGACTACTGTCAAGAACATAAAGATCATATAACTTTCTGTATAATGTGTTTTGAGTGGTTTTACAAGTGTCAGAGGTAGATTGCTCTGACCTGCCAATACTCTTGCATGACCACTAAGTCCATCTCTGGGAGTTGGCCAGGCAGAATTGCCATTGGGATATCTTCTTCCTAGATGAATGTTAACTGGTTTCAAGGAGAATTGAAGTCATGACTTTGATTTCATTCTCACCAAGCTCGGTCACTGCCCAAACTGAATACAAACCAGTGAAAAGAACAGGCATGAGAATGTATATCTAAGGATATACATAGAATAAGATGAAACAGGGTGTCAGCAGGTGGGCAAAAATAGCAGCAATGGACTCAAGGACAGACTACAACCTCTTGGATATCATCAGACACTCAAAACTGAGTGGTAACTTCAGTACTTTCTATAGCATCCTTCAAAAACTGCTGACTTGTCTGGAATCACCTCCTTTTATGTGAATTCTTAATTGTTAATCCTTCAATTTTACCAACTCAGTGGTGGTGCCTATAAATGTCAACTGTTGTTCATTCATTGACTGTCTCTACATCTCTCCCACAAACATTTGAGAGTTGCTAAAACTGCATCTTTCCTAGGAATTCTTTCAGAGGTACACACTGACATATGAATGGTATTTATCAATCCTTTCTTCTTATAAAAGTAACTTTTGTTCATTTGAAAATATAGATTACTCAGGCACTTGTAATTATACCATCCAGAGATGATAATTTTTATTCTCCTTCCTCTTTTTTACACTTTTTATTATATCGTCTATTTTTTCTGTCACTAAGTCTTCTTCAAAAGCATAACGGTTATAGGTTTTTGCAACAAGTAGATATGTAGAATTGTTTTTTTTTTTTACCATTTTCACAGTTTTTTTAATGTCTCATTGTTATACCAGTAAAAATAACCAGTGCATAAATTTCTGATATGCCTCTGTTCACTTCCCTAAGGATATAGTCTCCAAAGGAGTATTACTATATAAAGGTGTATTAAGCATATATAATTTTAATTTAGGTTTTTGCTAACATTCCTTGAAGCATTAAGTTTCCCAGGAATAGCTACTAAAAGACATCATAAATGAACCACAAAGGAGTAAATACTCACAGACCATCTCAAGAAAAGAAAAGCACATGAGTTCCTGAAAGCACAAACCATATTGAGAGAGTTAACTAATTTTGTTTAGGATTGGTGTGGTTTAACAAAAGGAAACCTTTCGATAAGCCCTGCTACTAGGGTTAATCTGTCTTCTGAAATTCAGAAATCTAGACTACAGGACAGAGTAGTTTAAGAACTCAGTCGTGAACAAAAACAACATAATTTTTTTCTTTATGAAGATTATAGCCTGCATGGAGATGTGGATATTAGTTGAATGATGACATAAATACAATATAAAGTTGTAAATTTTGAATTAGTGTAAGAAATTATAATAAGGAAAGTTATTGACAATAGGAGATCATTTAAAGATTTATCATTTAAATCATTTAAAGATTTCTCTTAAGGAATAACATTTGAGGTGAATGAGATCCATTTTCCAATATAAATGAACTCTTCAAGAAACTATTTTTCAGTCTGTATGTTTTGACAACATGGCTTCCTTTCTGCTAATCTATTTGGGTTTGAATGGGGTACAAGAGAGATGTAGTAAATGTATTTAAAAAATACAATCAATGGGGCTGGAGAGATGGCTCAGCAGTTAAGATCACTGGCTGCTCTTGCAGAGGACCAAGGTTCGATTCCCAGTACCCACACGGCAGCTAACAACCGTCCATAACTCCAGTTCTTAGGAGATCCAATGTGCTCTTCTAACCTCTGAGGGCATTGCATGACACAGGTGCCCTTACGTACATGCAGGCAATACACTCATACAAATAAAAATAAAGAATAAATAAAAATTTAAAAGATATAAACAATGAGAAACTACTACACACCTACCTACCACAATGGCCAAAATTCAAAGTAATGACACCACCAAAAGCCAGGAAGGGTATAGAGCAACAGTCACTTTTATTCATTGCTGCTGGGAATGAAAAATTATACAGTCACCTTGGAAGTTTGGTAGTTTCTTACAATGTTAAACATACTCTATCATACCATTCAGCAATTGTGCCCCTTGGTAGCTACAAAAATAGACTGAAAAGTCACAATTGTACCAAGTCCAACACACAAATGTTTACTGCTGCTTTATTTATCATTGTCAAAACTTGAAAGCAACCAAGATACCCTTCAGTAGTGACTGGATGAATTGTTGTGCATAGAGGAAATGGAATATAAGACTGATATGATTTGTATCTTAAGAGTCCCCTAAAAAAAAATCACGTGTTGAGGGACTGATCCTCACTGTCAGGGCTACTGGGATGTGGCAGAAAAGATATGAGGTAGGGCCTAGTTGGAAGAAGTAGGTCGCTGGAGGCACACACTTGAAGGCTATATTGGGACCCAGGTCTCTTCTCTCTCTCCTTGCTTCCTAGCTGCTATAAGTTAGATAGCTTTCCTCTGCCATGTGTTTCTGCCATAACTGACTTCACCACAGGCCCAAAGGCAATGAGGCCATGTCACCAAGGACTGAAACTTCTCAAACTGCGAGCCAAAATAAACCTCTCCTCCTTTATTTTTCTCTGATATTCTGTCACAGTGGCAGAATGTTGTCTAACATAGCACTAAAAAGAACTGAGCGATGAAGTCATTAAAAGTCACAGGGGACACTTATCAAATGAAAGAAACCTATCTGAAAAAGCTACTATGTGATTCCAATTATATGACACTCTGGAAAAGACACTACCATTGACACAGTAATAGTCTCAGTGGTTGCCAAGGGCTAGGGGGATTTTTACAGCAGTAAAATCATTCTTTATGATTCTCTAATGGCAGATATATATTGTTAAACATTTGTCAAGATGTATAAGGCCTTATCCACATGGTAACATCCACTCTTCCTTTGGCTCAGCTTAAATGTCATCTCTACTATAAAGCTTTGGCAAATCCCCTAGGTAGGGTATTTCTCCCAGGCTCTCCTGCAGCTCTTTGATCGTTCTTCACATAGTACTTAGAATGTACTATAATTACTTACAAACCATTCTTCACTCTAATATGAGTCTGAAAAACAGAGACATGACTTCATTTTCCATATTCCCAGCATTCAGGAAACAATAGGCACATAATAATAAATGTTTGAACAAATGAAAGAACAGATAATTATGAAGACCTAAACTCTGAGCACAGGGTTCAACTGTAAGCCTCTTTTAGCATTTTATCTGTAGCACCTTCCAAATGAGTCACTTGCTTGTTTCATGCTCTGGAAAGAACCACTGGCTCAGTGTTTAGAAGTGAGTGGCATTATGCTGACAAATAATAGTGGACAAACAAAATGCACTTATTATACTCCCATAAATATGCTTTATCAGCCCAGTCTCAGGGATGAAGAGATAAACTACTCATCAGAGGACCTAAGTTCAGTTGCTAGAACCCACATAAGGTGGCTCACAATGACTGTAACCCCAATTCCAAGGGAATCCTATGTCTCTGGTCTTCACAGACACTTGTACTCACACATGCACATGCCCCCACACAAATACATGATTTAACATAATTTTTAAAAATTTTTAAAAAATAGTTTAGTCTTGATTTCATAGTCACCTTTTTATCACTTTCTGGAGAATGAGAGTTAGCAAAGAGGAGAGTAAATGAAGACAAACTCAAAATTATTCAGCCAATAAATACTTTAATGAGAACCAAGGTCAATACCATACATAGCAGTAAGTAGGCCGGCCTATACCTTCTGCTGTAGCCTGTCTGGGAATAACCAACTATATTTAACCCACATTTGGAAAGAAGGCCTTTCTGAATGTCACTCATCAGTATCCATCTTCACAGAAGACACCAATCTGGGGCCACACTCTCAATGTGAATACTTCCTCTCAGGGAAGAGATAACATGGTAGCACAAATGCAGAAACATCATTAAGCCATCCTACTGTTCTTCAAGTTGAAGGCCCTTGGGAGACCACTGGTTCTGTAAACACAACTTTGTCAAAATACATTAGGAACACAAAGAAGGAAAACAGTAGAAAGGCTGGCAGGACTGGACTCACAGATTTTCAGACTTTCTTAGATTTGAAGCCTCTTGAGTTGCTCATACGTAATAAAAAACTGTGCAGTGAGTCATGGAAGATCTCTCAATTGATATTGAAAGCTAAATCTATTTCAAAAATTCTGCATTGCATTTTCTTAAATGTATGTGCTTAGTCTACAGGGCATTAGTTTAAAAGTCTTTCCCTTTTTGATGTTTTTTGTTTGTTTGCTTGTTTGGATTTTCCTTTTTTTTGTTTTTTACATAGGGTCTCACTATGTTACCCTGACTGGCCTAGAATTCTCTATGGAGAACACACTGGCCTCGAACTCACAGAGATCCCCCTGCCTCTGCCTCCTGAATGCTGGGATTAAAGATGTGTTCCACCATACCTGGCTGGTTGTGGATTCTTTCACTCAATGTTTTGTGTCCTATTAGTATTTTCTAGCTAGTTGAGTCTTATAGTTAGGGCTTAGGAAATCTAGACCACAACAGCATGGACTTTCCTGTGGGCATCCCCATCACTGTTTCTAAAAACATCATAGCCCTTTTAAAACTGGCCGGGTTTGATATTTTGTTTCATTAGCCTAACCAATGTATGTGTGTTTGTGCATGCGCTACACCATGTGCATGGAGTTCAGAGTACAACCTGCAGAAGTCACTTCTTTCCTTCCATCATGTGGGTCCTAGGGACTGAACTTAGGTCATCAGGCATGGTGGCAAGTGCCTTTCTTTACCCACTCAGCCATCTTCCCAGCCCAACATTTTGCTTTAAAGAGGAACATCTGGCACATTTTTTTCTATCCCTTTAAATTTGTATCCACCTCCAATGGAAAGTTGTTTCTCTACTTAATTCCATTCACAATAATCACTATTAGGATACTTGAGTTCCTTACTTGCCTATAATGGATGAAATAATCAAATTTTTCTTCCCATAACCTATTACCTGAGACCTTGAAGCATTGGCTTCCATTTTCAATTTCTAAAAGGATACAATGATGTTCCAGGGTCCAAGTCGAAGCCAGTTCGGCCAAAATCCCTTATAGAGTGCAAAAAAGCCTTCATGTTTCCACATCTGAGAGAAAGATAAAACCAAAAACAGAATTTCCCTTTCTTCTTATATTTGACAATCTTCCATGCCCATCTCAGGAACTGTAGTTAGATAAATGGTCTCTTTTCTCAAGATATACTTTGTAGTCTAAATCCATCAACCCATGATTCAACAATTATTTTCTGAGCACCCACCAGACACAACACACACTTCTCAGTGCTAGGAATATAACTGTAAACAAGACCTGGGCATGGTAGCACATGCCTATTATCTCAGCACTCTGGAGGCAGAGGAAAGAGAATCAGAAGTTCAAGGCCATCTTTAGCTGAATTTGAGACCATCCTAGGCCATATGAGATTCTGTTTCCAATAAAACCCTAATTAAATATAGTGGGCCATAAACAGATATGAAATAGGAGGAGGATTGGTTGGGCAGAAGGGCTTTGGTGAAAGGGGGAAGGGATAAGAGAAGATAATGGGGGGATATGGTCGAAGTATATCATTTATGTGTATGAAATTATGAAAGAAATTACAAAAGTAAACAAGGTAGAAAAATTGTCTGTGATAATCAGAGATGATTACATAAAGAGATGACCCCTAAAGGAACCTCCCTTCAGTCACTCATGGCCTTGTGTAACACTCATGCCACAGCATGTCAAGACTGCTATGTGATACCAAAGGGATATAGCAGAAGTTAGCATTGCTAGGCTATAAAATATATTTGATATATAATAATGTATCTATCTCAATTTTTTCTTGAATTATTCACTCTGAAGGAAACCAGCTTCCATACCACGAAGAAAGGCTACGGAAGAAAGAAACTGAGGCCTTTAGCCAATACTCACATGAGTCGTCTTTAAAGCAGATATCCTACTCCCAATGAAGCCTTGATGAGTGCAGCCCAAGTAGATATATGGGCTATAACCGCCTAAGAGATCCTAATCTAGAATCACTCAACTAAGTTGCCTCTGAATTCCTAATCTACAAAATCTGAAAAATAGTAACTGTTGGTTCAAGGCACTGAGTCTTAGGATATTTCGTTGCACAGCAATAGAGAACATACAGTCCCTGCATTTAGGGAATATATAGTCTACTGAGGTTGACAAGAAAATACAGAAACTGATATAGACAGATACTAATAGATATCAATATATTGATATATACTGTACTCAGAAATGATAAAAGGGATTAAGAAAACCAAAGAAGGGCGAGGGAACAGAGAGTGGAGAAGCTAGTTTCCTTCTCTGACTCTGTTCTTTAACTATATTTTCCTTTTTCTTTTTTTCTTTTTTTTTTTTTTTTTTTTGTTTTTTTTTTTTTTTTTTGCTCTTTTTGAGACATGGTCTCCCTGTAGCTCCAGCTGTCCTGGAACTCACTATGTAGACCAGGCTGGCCTTGAACTCACAGAGATCCACCTGCCTCTGCCTCCCGAGTGCTGGGATTAAAGGTGTGCATCACCACACCTGGCTATTTTCCTTCTTTTTTGAGAATCCATACAATTTATCTTTGTGGTGGTTGTTTGGTTTTTGTTTTTGAGACAGGGTCTCACTACATAGCCCTCACTGGCCTAGAGCTCGTTATGCAAACCATACTGGCCTTAAACTCACAGAGATCCACCTGCCTCTGCCTTCCAAGTGCTGGGATTAAGGGCATGCACCACCATGCCTAGCTCATACATTGTATTTTGATCATATTCCCCCCTCTGCAATCTATACCCAGATCCACCCACACCCCACCTCCCTCTTCACCCAATTTCATGTTCTCTTTGTCCCCTCTAGTCCAATATGTGTTGCAAACACTCCTATGTGTGGAACCTGTGACACCATGGTATATTTCATGTGAGTGCTTTAAGGGCTAAATGTGAGGAGCAATGTGAACTGCTTTGAGCTTTGGTGTCCTGCTTTATACTGTAGGAGTTTCCATATACAAGTGGTTTCAAGAACTAAATGACAAATTATACACAGCAAAAGTCATAAGCTGATGGCATAAGCTTTATTCACTCAGAATAACTAGTTTATATAATAGATGAACATCTATTTAGCAACAACGTGTTAGTTGTCATATTAGATACTAAAAAATATTTTTCGTCTTTTCATTGGTGAAATGAATTTTACCAGTTTTAAGAAATGGCCACATTTGGATAAGACAATGACACGAGAAGCCAGATTTGCAAGTATCTCTTTTTCTCATCCTGAAATTTAAGAACCTAGAAATAAATACCCTTATTAATTATTTGGGGAAAACAAATAATAACACAGTAATGATATTACTGATGGGGAGCCAGTGATAATATGCTCCCATCAATGGACCTTCAGCAAGTTCTGAAGGGCTCAGGCTAAAATTCATGTTGTAAAACTTAAAAATCACTCAAAATAAAGCTGAGATGCAGATAACCTAAAAACATAGACTTAAATGACAAAGGACCTGAGACAATTGTATTATCTATTACCTGAATTACCACAATAAACTCCTAATTGATCTAAAATCTCCACCTAAAAGCTAAAAAAAAATTTCAGAATTATAAATCAGACCATGTCACATTCCTATTTAAAGCTCTCAGGTGGCCCCTGGTGGATTTCATTCTAATTGCAAATTTTCTGCAATGACCTATAGGATCCTATATGATTTAAACCCTGCCTCTCTCTCTAGATTCACTTCCTACTTTTTCTTTCATCCACCACACTCAGTATCATAATCCTCATTTTTAACTCTTGAATGTGTCAAATTCATTCCAATTCAAGTGCCTTATAATCTGTTCCTTCTTTATGAAATGGTTTAAACCAGGTTTTTAACCAGGTTTCTCGTTATCCAAATTCCTCAAAGGCTTAGCTTTTATTGAGCATCCCAGTTGAAGGAATTCATTAACAAGTTGCTATTTCAATATGCTACTATTTTCTTCAGAGTATTTATGTTTATCTAAAAATTCTCTTCTCTCTCTCTCTCTCTCTCTCTCTCTCTCTCTCTCTCTCTCTCTCTCTCTCTCGTCTCCCTGCCCCCCAACTAGAATACAATTGTAAGAGAGCGGGAATGATGTTTGCCTTGTTCACTCTTAAATCCCCACCACCTCATAGTGCCTGGCACATTAAAGTTTCCAATAAATATGTGGTGAATATGAATATACACATAAACAAGTAAAATGCTATAACATTTCCATGACTCATCTAAACCCCTATAAATCTCCAAAACAGTGGCTGACTTCTTCAGAGTTTTAGAACAGGAAGGTTGTGTGTAAACACATAAGAACTTCCGTGAGTAAATACAAACAGAGCTCTACATAAAATTAAACTGGGTTCATTGCTTTAATAAATGTTTGCTCTGGATAAAGTGATAAGCAAAAATGTACATTGCTTTCATGGCACTTAGACTTTACTGGAACAAACATTAAAAGGAATAAACAAAATGTGCCAAATGTAAATAAAATGTGATACAGTCATAAAATATAGTATTTTGTTCAGCAATAAAAAGCAAAGAATTGATACATAATTCTATGAGTGAACCTTGAAAACATGGTACTTGAAAGAAGCCAATGGAAAAGGTCATATTATATGATTCCATTTGTATGAAATGTCTAGAATGGACATATCTACAGAGTTAGGAAGTAAGTTAGTGTTTGCTTAGGACTAGATGGACAGGAGGAAAAAAGCTAGATTGGACTTCTTCAGGTCATGAAAATGTTCTAAATTTGAGTGTGTTTGTTATACACACCTCATTGTTTTATACTAAAATATTGTCTCTTAAAACACTTTTGAATGCATTAATAATACATGAATTTGTCCTCAATGAAGATAATATATATATATATAAAAAAAACTTAAAACTTCACTGCAATAACAAGAACTATAAGAAACCATCCTCACACAGTCAGAAAGCAGGGAGATTATGGATTTGAGACCAGCAAGGGCTACATGGTGAGTTCCAGGCCAGTCTATGCAACATAGCAATATACTTTCTCAAAGAAAAAAAAAGAAGAAAGGAAAAAGAAAGACACCTTGCATTAGAAAAAGAAAGAAATCTTGTATAGAAAGCTAGTCCAATGGTCAGTAAAGGCCTTTGTGGAAAAGTAATGAGATCAGGGAAATGAAAAGCAGCTGGCAAAGCAGGAATCATATTTAGGTTGGTGTAGGGGGTGTCTCAGAAAGTATAAAGGTGAACACGTTGAAGAAAAAATTATAGGAGTAGATATTATTCAGTATATTTGGAATGTAGAAAGAAGGGAGAAGTGAGGGTGTAAGAGTGAAAAGGAGTCATTAGAAATCCTAGGCCATTAAAAGATTTTAGACAGGGGTGACAGGATGGCATTTGCTATGTCAGAGATGAATGTTTCCAAGTGCTTTGGAGCTCTTAAAATGAAAGGCAAATAATAAGGTATGTTACTATCACACATAATGGCAATATGAAGCAAAGCCATTTTAAAGAACTTGAACAGTAAGTAAATGAAAAAGTGAGTAAGTACCTAAAGGTTATTAGCAACATAAAAAATATTTCTATAGATACAATACAGCCAGGAAAGCTGGGGCTACAGGGAGACCCTGTCTCAAAAAGACCAAAAAAAAAAAAAAACTTTGGATTCAAACAGTACCTGGGTTAAATCTCAGATCTGCCATTTATTAGTAATTTTGGGAAAGTGATCTCTGACAACTCCTTTCTTAGCTACTCCGATCCAAAGAGTCCTTATTTATAAAATAGGACTCTATTTCACATTCCCTATTGAACTGCTGTGAGTTAAAGGATAACTGTACATAAAATGTCTGTCACATAGTAAGAACGCAACACATGCCAGTTATTACTATACTGCTGTACCTTCTATCTTTTCTTAGTCAATCTTCTTGGAAGAACTGTTTTAAAAAGATTATTTTTACTTTATGTGTATGTATATGCACCACATGTGTGCAGTGCCCACAGACACCAGAAAAGGGTGTCAAATCCTCTGGAGCTGGAGTTATGGATGGTTGTGAGCCATGATGTGGTGCTAGGAACAGAACCTGGGTCCTCTGCAAGAGCAGCAAGTGCTCCTAACTGCTGAGC